GTTATTTTTAGAAACTCCCACCATGCTGTCAGAGAGGAGCTGACGTTGATGCTTTTAAAGCATTCATGTCGTTTGATGTTTGAGCTGATAAATGGTCAGAAATCTCCAGATTATTGCACAGTGCCTGTTCTACATCCCGCCAAGGCTCATCTTAGTGGGCGTGTTTTAACCATCCGGAGATGAACTGAAGCCTGTTGGTTAAAAAGTAGCGTTGAAAGTTAGACGGCTCTAGTCCTCCTTTATCCTTGGTCCTTTGTAGCATTTTTCAGCTGATACGTGCAGGTTTATCTTTCCAAAGGAATTTAGAAATGTACGAATCCAGAGATCTGAACCAGGCAGCTGATGGTTCACTCGGGATCATATAAAATAATTAAACCACCATTTTTCTTGAAGCAATCCTTCCCATGAGTGATAGGGACAGAGACTTCCCTCGAGTCAGATTGTCTTCTACTTTCATTAAAAGTGGCATGTTGGTTAATTCAGTTAAATCTGCAAGCCTAGGAGAGTTAGCTCTTCTGTGTTGTGCCACTGGCTCAGCAAGAGGTTGTTTGGTTTCCGTGGAGTGTAAATCTTTGCAATCTTCCTGGCACTTCACAACGGTCCTGGTGATATGTTAAATAAGAAATTGTTGTGGAATTTGGTGATATAAATTAGACGTGTTTTGCGGTAAATCTTTTAGAACCTACCATCATATTAAACACTACAGCCAAAGAAACAAAAAAGTGCTCACAGATTATCCTAACAAAGGAAAATTAACTCAAAAAAGCCTTTTAAACAATCTTGTGTTTTTGGATTACAAATGAATTAATTTACGAGATGCACTGTAGGCACTGTGCATTGCCCAAGAATGTAAGTGTGCACATTGTTTTCATGATCAATAATATAACTTATTGATCATTTTGAAGTAGATGTTCTTGCTGATGTTCAGTTTTACATGAATGTCTGCAAGAACATTTCCCATCCTTTTGTTCAACCACTGGGAGTCACCGAAAGCTTATATTTTACACTGCGTGACTTACACTGAGATGTACGCTTCATTGCCCAAGTGTACAAATAACTAACTCATATGTAAACCGTTTCACCATAACGTAGGAATGCTACTGTGTTTAGTAACGACTGTGTCGTCCATGTGGCCTCGGTCTCCACATCAACCAGAAAATTATTCTGCTTGATTGACTGAGTATTTGCAGATATGTCCTTACAGCCTTTATTATAAAGAAGATGTGATTGTGAGCTTCTGATAAAGCTTCAAAGCCAGAAAGTATAATCCTAGAAAAAGTGAAAAAATGCTGCTCTTCTATTTATTTTTAATGCATTTTGTTATTAATAGTTGTCCTACATTGTCACTGTAATACATCGAAATGACAAACACTTCTGTACCATAGCAACAAAAATAAAAGCACTTATTGGTCAGGAATCGTCGCGTATCCACCACTAACTAACGTAGTGATTTAGCAAACGCCTCCTTGCCTGAGACCCTCTGAGTATTTATACTTTTTCATTTGAAGGCTTGTGAAGTACTCTGCTCTCTGCTCTACTGATGTGTTATTATAGGGCTGATCCACCTCTGTCTGTCTTTAAATATTACATTATTATACTACTTTAAAACATAAGGGAAATGATCTGATGCCAATGTAAAACTGTACAGTTGTATGATGAAAAATAAAATGTGTAGCCTTCCAATAAAGACATGGTTGATATTCCAGGTCCTAATGCTGGATGAAGTGTTCAGATTTTAAAGTAGCATTCT